GGGGGGGGGGGGGGGCCCCGTGTTTATTATTAGGGGGACGGGATTAAGGGGATGTGGTCTGCACCCAAACCTTGTTGACCTTGTTGACCTTGAACGGGGGGGAGGGTTGATTAATCCGGTGTCGACATTACAGAAACTTGGTGCTGCCTGCGATGACCGGGTGCTCCAGAGAAAGCATGCCTGGGGACACGGTCCGTTGGTCATGAGGGTTCACCCTTGTGCACCTCCTTGTGCTCTCGCCTCAGAGTCGCCTCTGGCCAAAGGCGTGTAGATTCCGTCCGTCCTCCTGGCCTCTAACGTCCTTGTCCCTCGCCCAGAGAATGGGCCCAGATGTCATGCTTATAGCTTATAAACCACAGGCTGACGTTCAGAATGTAGCGTCTTGATTGTTCTAATCCCCCGTATGAAGAGGTTGTTCCGTTCAAATGGGGTGGTATATTAACCAATCAAGAGTCTACATGAAACTCGTTGTGCTCGCACAGAACTTATCTGTTGCATCATCAGACACAAGCAGTGACCGAAGACTTCTGCGATGGCTTCTTTGCCATGTTTGTGAAAAAGACCAAACAAAAAAACATTGAACAGACATTGAAAAGACATTAAAAGACTGTGCCACAAAGAGGTCAGTCCCCTGTAGTGCGAACTCCCCTGCAGTGCGAACCGTTTGTTGCATGTTTGTGGGGTTGGATTTGGAGTCTAATGGTCTAACCTTAAAACATCATAGGAGCGAGTTGGAGGGTGAAGCTGAGGATGTGTCGTGTCACCTGAACAGTTGCTCTATTGGTAACTCTTCGCCCCATGTGGGTGCCCAAATCCGAAGGACCACTTTTTATAGCACCTCCCGATCACCAACTCTGATCCCCGTGCACCTCCCGATCTTCAGCGGTTCGATCACCGTCACTCTCCCAAAAAAGGAACGTCGTCGCTCGTCCTCCTTCGGTCCGAGGCTCAAGAAGTCTTCGAAGAGAACGATCCAACACTTGGCACGGTACACTTTCAAATCTGCGCAGCGGGCGTTCCCGGTGCCGGTCGGTTCCCGGGGGGTTCCCGGGGAGTTCCGGGTGCGGAGGAACGCTCCGAGGAGGCTGCCTACTAGGCCCTAATCAAATTGAAAAGAGTGTTCTATTTATTGTTTCTAAGATAGCTTCTTGTTACTACTAGTAAGGCCCTTGTTACTAGTAGCGATGCACTTGTTCCTAGTAGCTTCTTAATTTAGGTTGTTTTTTGTTTTGTTCTCAGAATATATTGGCAATAGCATGACATGCCAAAGAGAACTCCGACTTACGAGGACACATGAAGACTCCAGGGATTATCCAATGCAATCCTTCAATGACAAAACTCTTGGTTCTTTGATGTTCGATGGTCTTTTTAGCCTGCAGGTCGTCCAACTTGCACCACAATAATATGACCAAGTGGTGGATCAGGGAGATCGAAGTCCATGTCCGGCGGACTAACACTTGCCGCTGTGTCGGTATTGCCTTTCCATTGCCCATGTGGCTCTATCTAGTGGACGACTTCATGAACGTGGCCTCAACTCAGCTAACCAAATCTTAATTTAATGTTGATTCTTGATCAATAATTCCCCCATCTGGATTGGAAAAAAACACATCATGCAAGAGTCTACATTAATTTAAGTAGGACATGGATCAGTCTTCAACGTCCAAGGTGTACCGATGACCCTGCTTCCCTTCACAAGCGCTTCACTTCACGCCCGCGTGACTTTTCGATCACCGCTGCACTGCACACGCCGAATAATGTCTCAGTATGTACAAACCCCAGGGCTCCAACTACCTGAGAAGGTGGTTAAGGTGGGTTTTAAGGTGGGTTTGGAGGGTCTAACCATCTTCTGAGGATATGGTTGGAGCCCTGGGGAAAATGATTTGTCCAGTTTCGTCCAGGTTCTTGCATTAACTTTAGTCGACAGCATCTCACCCTGGGGGAACTCCGTTGTTCAGACCACAAGCGAGGCCTCCGCCACCCTGAAACTGGAGGGTGCGGAACATAGACCTCAATTGGGCCAGGGGGTCTTCCTAAATACAATACTCACCCAAATGGATCTGTAAAAAAATGCATTGTGAATCTCTGAAGGCAGATCAACCGCTGCCGTTTCCAGTTCAGGCTTTGTGGGAAGACGCTTAGCCAAACAAGGTTACGTGGGAGTGTGGCGAGTACTCCGCAAAGCTCTTTTCGACCTTTTGTTCGCAGAGGTCAAAACTGGATTGATTTGCTGCTTGTTTTCTGCAAGTGCGCGCTCCGTGTCTCAATCTGCTTCGTTTGGGATCCAGTTGGTCCCTTCGGGGTCGCTCTCTGCCCCTGGACGCACCGGACGCGTCACGAACCGCGCGTTCTGCGGCGAGTGCGAGTGGACGAGGACTCTGAAGGCGACGGCTCCTGAGAAGTGTCCAACGAGTGGTGGCAGGTGTTTGCTGTTTTGGGAGACGGCTTTTGTTTCGTCGCATCAAGAGGAGAACATGCTCATTCTTCGATAAGAATCTTGTTCCAGTGGGTTTTGCTGCTTAGCAAGTAGATGTTAGGCCCTAGCCCAAGGCCCTAAGTGATCCTAAGTGCCTTTGAACCATTTTGAGGACTCGACCTCCATGGCAAAAGGAGAAGTTCCACGAACCGACCTCGCCCCATGACCTCGCTCCTCACCGGGGGACCGTGGCCGCTTCGGCCTCGATAGCGAGAGAGGGATCGGAGTCGAAACATGTTCTGAACATTCTGATTTTTGAGATGGGGCTTTCCGTCCTATGGATATATCGACAGACCCTCTATTCAAGGGTGATTGGAGATACTGTTGTTTTTGTGTTCTCTTGCTTGGCTTTCTGCCTCGGTTCGGCTCTTGCTTATCCCGACTCAACCACTTGTCGCTTTGAGCTTCAGCCTGGCCTGGGCGGCGGTTTTCGGTGTTCCTTCACCTGGCGAACTTGGTGAGGAGCATGAAAGGTGATGTACAGGACTCGGTGGAGAAACAAACATCGCCTGTGCAAACATGGCCTCTGCTGCTTGCATGGAACCTGTGAGTTTGGAGGAGCCACCCCGACAAAAACGAGCGGCACCCCCACTGTAGTGGGATCGCAAGTTCTGCTTCTGAGCGGATGTTGACTTTGGATCGCGAACAGCCATTGTTCACTTTGAAACCACAAAGACCCGCCCTGTGAGCTTAAGAAGTCCTGGACCCCTCAAAAACCCTGTACACTCTCAGTGACTCCATCTTCGCACTGGGATTTCACCTGCTTGTCTTTATGTGAAGGAGATCCCTCCAACCTTTAGGATTTCACCCTTTCGGAGATCAATTGTTGTTGTTGTCGTCGTTGGTTTTTCGTGGCGGCACCAGTAACAAAGTCAATTACATCACCCTTTTCGGTTTTGTAGGGTCCGCCCCGTTCGCTCTCAGGATCAGCCTGTTCACAAATCTTCTGGTAGCCCTCGAAGTAGCCTCGGCACAACATGTCAACAAACAAATACCCAGGAACCTGAAACCTCCACAGAAGTTCATCCCTTATGCAGATGTTACCAACCTTGATCACCTCTTTTTACCTCGAAACAATCATCCAGAAGAGATAAAACATCTCTGGAATCACGACATCCTGCAAACAACGAACTGCTTGGAGGCCTTAACAGCTACACTAACGTTTGGTCCTCTGTACTTCACTCTGTGGACATTACCTCCTCCAGTTGCTGAAATTCCTTCAAAACTATATAGTTCACAACACCGTATACAACAGGTCACCTTTGACATAGACCAAATCTATTCGACTCCAATCGGTCGATTCATCCGCACACCTTCAAACAAGATCTGGGCAGCTAGTGCGGCGGCTAGACAGTCACAGTCTCAAATGTTGTAACACATCTGCCTAGTTCCCTTATAGTGAAACAAGCAAACCCAACCATTCTGATTGGCAACATGATTTCAACTTGCAGTACGCTATATAGCCCTTGTGCAACTGTAGGATGCAAACGCTGTAAAGATAGGGGTGGGTTGCCCTTTTTTCAATTTCCTTGGTCCTTTTCCATTTATACAACTACATGGAAATGATTGTGGTTTCTAAGCCACTCCCACATCCTGACAACACTGAAACCCGTCTACCGTGCCCTAAGCGGAACAACAAATGGAATGCAACTGCCATAACGTACAATCACCACATGCTGTACAAGTCCCGGAACATATTTGCTTTACATCAGTTGGCAAGCGGCTCATATGCTATTTACAAAAGGTCACTCAACCGCACTCAACGACCACTTCCTGGATGAAAATGGGCATACTTACCCGAAGTATCGACAACTCCAACAACCCGCGAAACCCTACTATGGTATTCGCATGTATTCAAAACCTTTCTGGAACCCACCGTCGGATCCTTCCGCTGCTTAGACGCTGACCAACTGTGTAGTATGGCCTCAGCGTGATGGCCCAAAAATACGCAAAGCATTCCGAAGACATCGGAGCCCTTTGGATTGAAAAACACGTTGTTTTCCATCAAAACTTTTTCCCCACCTGGCAGGTGAGGGCTGTTAGATTCTGTCAGAGCTGTCCTTTTATCCTCCTCCTTGGGAGCGCTGGCCCTCAAATCTAGCCGGCTGGCAGTGGGCACCACGGGACTTCACACGAGCGCCAGCTCGCCGTGAACCGGACCTCAACCGCGAGCGCTAGATCAAAGTGGGCACCACCGGACCTCAACCGGGAGCGTTACTTCGTGTGCACCTTTGTTGGCTAACTTATAGTCATGCTCTATTCAATTTTCAGTTATGACATCAAAAATCTTCAAGGAAATCTACTTGTGTTGAGCGAAATCCACCAATATTTTGTATTTATTTATGGCTAATATCTATCTGATATGTTCCATTTTGTGGGCACAGCCATTCAAACACATTTTGGGGGCGCCGCAAAAGATTGCATGTTCTGCTTTCGTTGAATCGTGTGTTTTCTGTAAAATGATCATTGATTTGATCAAACAATCAGTTGTCAGTGTGACTTTCTTCATTCCTGGATCACCATGTACCTGATGTATCTGGATCAGCCTCATTTCCGCCAACCCCCACAGAATCCTCCGGGGCCCCTGGTCACCAATGAATCGGCCTCATTTCGTCCCACCTCCACAAAGGGCAAAATATACATCCATGCACTGAGTTTGGTACCACTGAATACCGATATTAAAACAACTTCTATTTCCACCAAGGACTGATACTTATATCTCCTATATATAGATTCTTTTTTGTGTTTCAATGATAGATGGATTCGGACATGTTTTCCTGTGTTGTGCAAAATATTGTTTGGACGATGTCTCAGCTTGGCTCGATTGTATCTTTTTCGGCGTGAATTTTAAAAAAGAAGACGTTTACTTCAAAAACATGTTTTTGCTATTAAGATCCAGAAAACACATGTATTTCTGTTTTACCTGCTTCCTGTAAAAAGATGGGCCCCATTTAATTACTTAGCTTCTACTTATTTCAAGCTGTTTCTAGCTAATTTCTACTTATGTTATAAGTTCCATAAGCTCACTTGATGAACCTCAGCTAGCCTCAAGTACCAAGTATTCACGAAGTAGTTTCAGTGGGGATGATACGCAAGTCAACTGCGATCACTCGATCGCAGTGGGCACTGCCGGGGCTCAACCGCGAGCGCTAGATCGCACTGGGCTCCGCCGGACCTGAACTACGAGCGCCAGATCTGGACCTCAACAGCGAGCACTGTATGTATTGCAGTGAGCCTCAACCGCGAGCGCTAGACCGCAGTGGGCAGCACTACAAACGGGACAGGTAGATCACAGTGGGCACCGCCGTGCCTAACCACGAGGGCAAGATCGCAATGGGCACCACCGGCCCTGAACCAGATTGAAACGAGTGCCAGAATGAATGTCGCAAGTATATATGGGATAGAATGCCAGAATACATGCCCGATATAAGAATGCCGGAATGTATGCCGGTATGCCAGAGTTGCTGTCAGCCAGAGAGAATGTCAGAATAGATGTCAACAGATTGTCAGCAAATATGCTGCATATAATGCCAGAGTTTATGCAAGAATGAGTGCCAGAAAAAAGATCAGAATATATCCGTGCAAGAATATGCCAAAGGGAATGTCTGAAGATATCCCAAAAAGAAATGCGGAATGTGCAACCCCACCCACCCGCCCACCCACCCACCCCAAAAAAGGTATCAAACCTCGAAAAAATGAGTGGTCAGGAGGAGGGAGTCGAGAACTTCAAACAACCAAAGCAAATGAAACCTAGCAAAAGGTTGCTTGCTTCCTGCCACGTCCAAATATATACACATGTTTCGTTTCCCAAGCCTTTTTGCTTATGATCTCTTGCAGCAACTCTCTGAACTAATCTAAGATCAATAATGCTTCTTCCAAAGCGACCTTGGAACTTTCCAAGCATTATTCCTATCTATTCCTTTTGATTCCATTTAAACACTATACCTTGGCCAAAGAACCATTGTTGGTTCCTTTTGCTTCCGCCTCATTCCGTTTGAAGGAGTTGCCTGTCATTCTTTCGATATCCTGGACACTCTTTCTCAAAGCGAAATCTGGACTGAAGAGATCTCTTTGATTGTCCTCCTTTTGTAGGTGCTTGCAAGTGTCCTGCTGTTGTCCTCTGGCCGGGCTGGCCAACTCTATGTCCTCCACTTGGCCTCTTCTTGTCCTCCTGGTGCTTGCAGTTGTCCTGCTGTTGACCTCTGGCCACGTTGGCCAACCCTGTGTCCTCTCCTTGTCCTCCGCTTGTTCCCCAAACAGTTTACTGTTGGTGTTATCTTTTCTAGGAATCTAGACGACGGATGGCCCGGGAGCGAGGAAGGAAAGGCTATGTAGAAGTAAGAGAAGTGTCTAATAAATACATCTGAAAGTGTTATCATGTTTTAAAGTGGCATTTAACATGTATGCTACAAGATGCTACAAGCATACATGCGGGGTCGGGGATGAAGACACGGTTGAGAATTTCTTCTGGACTTGCTGCCGCCAGAAAATGACGTTTAGGAGTGGTCGATGACTATGTTGTGTACTGTAATTTGTGGTTTGGAATTATATAGATTGGGTAGGGGCATGGCGGGTGAAATCATTGCCTCGGGAGAGGGTGCATAAGGCCATAGTTGGAGAGAAGGATAGACCGTTCAGAAGCTGGGAACCAGGACACGTCAAAAGATGAAGACGGGGTGGAGGATGGCTTTATAGAGAAGGACTTCTATTGCTGCCATCAGAAAGTGACGTTTAACACTAACCGATAAATGTTTGGTGACTAATGTTTGAGGAACTTTGGTGTAAAGTTAGACTGAATAAGTATAAAACAAACACAAACTTGAAGCAAACATATCCTGAAATCGACGGCAGGGCATCAGCCCTTAAATCCGGCGATGCCGCGCTGTTGCGGAACAAGTCTAGCTTGCTACCCCAGGTGCGTTAATTTTGCATCTGACCTAAAAAACGGTGCTCCCGCCGCCCGCCTGCATTTCGAGCTGTTTTTGGATCTTGAGTGACTCAAACATTTGCAAAACGAGAAGCGCATCAAAATCCTTGAGTTGGGTGGGGGAGAGACTCTTTTCCGCCACAAAGCAGGGTGGACAACATCGCTAAACACAGTGGAAAGGGCCCTGTAGCCTACGGTGTTTTTCCAATTTCAATTCAATACAATGTGTTGCAATGCGGCAAAAAACGCGTAAATACCGGCGTCTTTGAAGGTGCGTGTGCGCAAAACACTGAAAATGTTCTGATTGTTTGGCAGCATGATCAAACAACCTCGTATATTAATACACGTAAATACCACATTTTTTGAGCACTTGATAGCTTAAACCCATCGGTAGTTGCACTGTTTGTTGCTGCAAATGCGCACAAAACTGCACAAAGAGGGTGCTTTTGAAGCACCTTTGAAGCCTAGAAGCTGCGCGCGCGCTGACTAGGGTCCACTCTCTCCACCTGCTTCTTCCCTCTTTCACCCCAGCTGCCCAGACCCATCAAACCAAATCCCAGCAGCAGCCGCAGGCGAGCACAGGTGGCCCTCACCACCTGTGAGGCCTTTGTGTACTGCACGAAGCTCATAGCCTTGGCTGACTGGGCTTCGGACGACTAATAGGCTGGCTGCGCATAGCTGGATTCAATCAAGTCTCTATGCGCGAGGGAGCAACACTTTCCGCATGGCTTATTTGTGCCATCAGCTTGGAGATCGGAGGTCGGATGCTTGCGACGTGCCAGCGGTTGATGGGGTCTGACGATGAACCTCTGATTCCATTTGTGCAACGCAAGAGGCTCCCACACACAATCGATCCGATCGTGACACGATGGCGGTGATCGTGACGGACTGAACTGGTCACCCTTTGGAGCCCAGTACTGAGTCCGAAACTGAAGAGGGATCCTCGTGATCCGATTCTGATCGAGTTACTTGCAAACGGGGAGAGATGTTTGTCGTTTTTGTTTCTTTTTGTAGAGGTTGAGGTGCCCCCAGATTGATCAGGACTGCTGAAGAACAAGTTTGCATGCCAATGACTTCTGGATGTATTTAGGATGTCAATGAGGCTGGGGTCAGTAGCCAAAGCAACTGGAGTTGTTCAAAGCATCGATTAACTTTCTTCCTTCAGCATATGGATGAAAGCGGATTGACAATCTTTCAAAGTTCCCTCACCTCCAATCGGATTGAGACACTAAGCCTAGGCAAAGTCAGCCCATGGAGACACGTAGACACGTCTGAGCTTCGTGCAGGCCACAAATGGTGCTCAATCTGGTGACTGTCCCCTGGCCAGGCACGTCCGGCGGCTTGGTCCCTTTGCGTCCGAAGCACACGGAGCAAGGCTAAACTGGTCTGGTGTCCACCTCATCTATCAAGGGCTACCCAAGCAATACAGTAGGAAGTGGCAGTGGCACATCTGTCCAACCCCCGGCCAAATGATGCCATAATTGCACAAAGACTAGTCTTACTTGGCTTGTAAGTCGGAAGTTCTGACCATTCTCAGGTCGGGCAAAGGCAGGTTTTGTCAGCACTCTCAAGCCGTCGTTGGAGCGGCAGCCCCGACCTGGAAACACCGCTGAAACACTTTACCTGCTCGGTGAAAATCATATTTTGGGGCTCAAAAAGCAAAGCCCTAGGATTACTTAAAGTCAGTTCTGTTCCTAGAATTGACCCATGGATACCCATGCATTAAGTGTTTGAATTTTTTGAACATGCATAACACTATACCCTCTTTCAAAAAGCAAGTTGAGGAAGCAGCCGAAGCGAGTAGGTGAGCCATGGTGAGCCTTATCACTTATCACGCACCTTTGTGGCATTGACGCAGCTCCTGCCTTCTCCTTCGTTCCTTACCTACTTGCTTCCTTGCTTCCTTCCATGCCTCTGTCCTGCCGTCCTGTAGACTGATGAGCATCTTCTCAGCTACTGACCTCATCCGCCGAAGTCTGGCCGATCCAGGAAAGGACCAGGAAGGCCGATGCCTGAGCACTGTCTTTGGATCCTGCTTGGCCGCTGAATACAGATCGGCAAGATCGGGACGCTTGCCAGGTCCTCGGCCTCCCCAATGAATGAAGGCGCCAGGTTCTCGGCCGCAGCCGAGAATCTGGCGCCGTCTTGGACGAAGAGATTCGCGGAACGTCCACTGTCACTGCCGCCTCCACAGACTTCCGGAGACGCGGAATGCATTCGCGGATGATGCCAGCTCTGAAAAACGGGTTGAAGACAAGCGCGGGCTCATCACATCGTCTCATGACATCGACATCCTGATCTCCTTGACGGCATAATGAGCTTTTCATTCCGCTCTCAGGCAAATCGACCGAGCTTCCCATTGCTCTTGAGTGATAACGGTTGGGTCCGATGTCCCCAGCCGTAAGGAGTCTCAAGACAGGATCCACCTCGGGGTTTATCCAAGAAAGAAGACGTTGGGCCTATACCTGGTCCTTCCTCAATTTTAAATTGAACTCCAACTGGGCCCCCACCTCCAAAAAGATCTGCTATACTGCCTGAGTGTCACAAATGTTCACCGCTTTTGCTTGGAACGTGCCACATCACCCTCCATCCTCTTTGCACCAACCTCCTCCCAGCCTATACCGACCCCTCACGAAGACCCTATATAACCGCACCATGGAACATCAGGAAGTCCATCAGCCAAGCCCAGCGGTTCCGAAACCTGCTCCGGCGTGCTCCGGGGCGGCATGAAACACCGGGGAAATGACCATGTCATGCCGCCATGTCAGTTGCCTCTGGTCAGTCGCCTGTGGTCATGCACTCACCCCAAACACCTTCGATTAGGCCCCAGGGATGGCTTGGAGGGGCTGTCGTTCATTTTTGTTCATACCTGCATACCGGCGACCACCAAGAACACCAACAAATGCTGCTAAGCCAAAGGTGGCTCGGAGAGCAAGAAAAGGAGAGGCTATAAATCTCAACTCTATAGAGTGATGGCTATATAGACTCATGTGGATCTTCCCAGCATTGCCAATGTCCTTTTTCTGGGACCAGATGCAACCCTATGACGTGCAGGCTGTATTTGCAGCTTTCCGAGAATCCGAGCATTCGGTTGGAATCTATCTGTGTCCCCAAGCAGCCAGAATTTCTCCGTGAAGGAATGAACCATTCATTCCAGCAGCATATTTAGAACTCGACATGAACTCACGCACTTTGTTATAACACGTTTGAACTCATCGGCTTTCCGCTCCAGGTGAGGCGTGAACCTCGGGAACCGCGTCCCGTGCTGCCCGAGCTGCTCCAAGTTCGCCGTGCAGAGGAGCTGTCCGATCACCCACTCGGCGGAGTCGTCTGCGGCCTTGTCGTCGGTGTCAGGTGGGGTCGCAGGGCTGGGGACCCAGGTGGGGTCCGTTCTCTGTTTTGAAAAATGTGGAGGATGAGGAATATGAGGACCAGGAAGGTCCTGGTCATTGAAAACGATGACTTCAAAATCCCCAATCCTTGAACGGCAATGGATCATTGGTTGAAGGTTCGGCGAGGTCCAGTGAGTCCATGAGTCCTAAGGTCCAGTCAGAAACCTGGACCACTCCATCCTGCCGGAATGAAAGCTTTTTAATGGGCTTTTGTGGAGAGCATGTCCCAATGGACTCAAGCACTGCTTCCGGGCAGAAGTTGGTTTGTACATCGCCCTCATAACAAACTGGGTGGAACTTGTCACCTGAAGTTTGCGAACAGTAAAACACTACATGACAGAAAGTTGCCAAAGTTTGCTGAAGTTTGTCAAATGTCCGGCAGATTGATGCTGTTCCCTCTCTCCCTCTCTCTCTCCCTCTTTCCCAAGAGCTTTCATGTCTCAACATCTCTGGAAGATGATGGAAGCACCTTGTTGGCACCTGTCGGCCATGAAACAAATCCTAAACAAAGACAGGTCAGTGCAAAGCCTTTAGTCAATCAGGCTTCACAGGATTTCCTATAGCTACTATATCATAGTAATATAGGTGATCCCAAGCTCACACATGAGCCAACCTGATTCGCTCGGAGCAACCCTGCGACCTCGCGGTTGAGGATGTGCTCTGGCATGTAGTGCTGCACCTGCCCCCAGTTTACCCAATCGGGGAGGTATCCAACGCTTCGTCAAAAAGAGAAACATGTCACATCATGTCACATCTTCATTTCACTCTCAGGGGAATGACCCGCAAATCCAGTTTCTTTCGGTGCTTTTCCAAATGGATCCCCACATCTCCCCACATCTCGACGCGTTCGGCCGTTTCGAGACGTCATGGGGTCTCATACTCTACGTCCGTTCACATCTAGCCACTTGGAACCCAAATTTGCACCCACGGAACGGTGACCTTTGGCATGACGAGAAGCGCGGGCAGAACAAAAACAAACTATAATGAATCTGGCATCTTGATTTTTCTCGTGCAATCTCCACATCTGTGTTGGTCATCATCTCCTTAGAGCCTTTAGGTGCTTCTTCAGGGAACTTACTTTCTAGCTCCTTTGGGTCTGAACAGAATAGCATGGAACAACAACAAACTTATTTTTACCGCTCATGACTCATGTGAGGTCGGTCCAAAATTCCCTACATCTGGGAGCGGTCATTTAGGACAGGGCATCGGGCTTGGGTTTTCCTCATCGGTTTCCAATGTTTGGTGAATTTCACTAACATACCGTATGTTTCCAAGCAAAAGTATAGTATAGTCATGGACATGGTGAAGCAACGCACAGCAGAGCATACAACTTTTCACAAGTTCAAGGACCTCACATATGCAGCTGCTAGTTCCTCTCTCTTGGGCATGTCATTTGAACCCTAAAATCTGCTCTCGAGTGGGCGTGTCCTTGATCGGGTGTCTGGAAGTCACTCCGCGGCATCGGTTAGGGCATCGGTTAGGCATCGGTCTATACACGCTGGTGAAAAACACAAAACTTGCCAGTAGTAGTAGTCGTCGTCGTAGTGGTAGTGGTAGTGGTAGTGGTAGTAGTAGTGGTAGTAGTAGTCGTCGTCGTCGTCCTCGTAGTGGTAGTGGTAGTGGTCGTAGTGGTAGTAGTGGTAGTAGTAGTGGTAGTGGTAGTGGTAGTGGTAGTGGTAGTGGTAGTCGTCGTCATCGTCGTCGGTAGTGGTAGTGGTAGTAGTGGTAGTAAGTAGTAGGCAGAAGGTAGTAGGTAGTAGGTGGTAGTAGTAGTAATAGGAGTAGGAGGTAGTAGTAGTAGTAGTAGTAGTAGTAGTAGTAGTAGTAGTAGTCGTAATAGTAGTAGTAGTAGTAGTAGACTAGTACAGTACTAGTACTAGTCGTACTAGTAATACTAGTAGTACTAGTAGTACTAGTAGTACTAGTGATAGTACTAGTGGTAGTAGTAGTAGTAGTCGTCGTGGTGGTGGTGGTTTTAGTAGTAGGTAGCAGAGGTAGCACGTAGTAGGTAGTAGGTCGTAGGTAGTACGTCGTAGGTAGTAGGTAGTATAGGTAGTAGGTAGTAAGTAGTAAGTAGTAAGTAGTAGGTAGCAAGTAGTAAGTAGTAGGTAGTAGTAGGTAGTAGTAGGTAGCAGTAGGTAGCAGTAGGTAGCAATAGGTAGCAGTAGGTAGCAGTAGGTAGTAGTAGGTAGTAGTAGGTGTAGTAGTAGTCGTCGTCGTAGTAGTAGTAGTAATAGTAGTAGTAGTAGTAGGAGTAGTAGTAGTCGTAGTAGCAGTAGTAGTAGTAGTGGTGGTAGTAGTAGTAGTGGGAGCAGTAGTAGTAGTAGAGTAGTAGTAGTGGTAGTAGTAGTAGTAGTGGGAGCAGTAGTAGTAGTAGAGTAGTAGTAGTGGTAGTAGTAGTAGTAGGAGCAGTAGTAGCAGTAGTAGTAGGTAGTAGTAGTAGTAGTAGTAGTAGTAGTAGTAGTAGTAGTAGTAGTAGTAGTAGTAGTAGTAGAGTAGTAGTATGTACGTACGTATGTACTTATGTATGATACAAAGGCATCGGTCTTGGGTTTTCCTCATCGGTTTTCAATGTATGCTCAATGTATGACCTACCGATGTAAAGCTTTTGGTTCCAAGATTTTTGGACGGATCTCATGTGTGTAACCCAACCAGCACAGTTTTGCATTGACCATTGAAGGGGGTATATACCGTAATTATATTTCTATCGTCACTCTCCGACACCTCTCCACCATATGTAGAAACCCCGCCTCAGAGAAGGGGTACAGCAGCAAGCGGCTGGTCGCGCGGGCCAAGAGTAGCACGCCCAACGCCTGGCGACGAACTGAACGCCTTCGGTGTACACGCGTTCCGCGGAAGTGGGGTCTTGGTGGGTCAAGGTCATGTATGACACGTCACATCCTTCTTACAACGAACCAGGCCGCAGTGGGAGATGCTAAGGTATCTTGGTGGGTCAAGTATTACGGCTGGTCACTAGATGGTTGGGGCGAACTAGTTGGTGGCTCCCCTCTCCGACATACCTGGATCTTCAAACGGCACAAATAATGATTGCCGGAGGCATTTTTCAGTGAACAAAGACCGTAATCAAACAAACCTGCCGTTTTAGGGGTTGCAAACATGTGCTCAAAATCCATGGACGGGGAAAGACGCTGTTCGGACACCTAAAGACCCGGTTTGGAAGCCCAAAAACGTTGTGTCTTTTGGGTTTCTGCCAGTTTCTGCCTGGTCACAAGAAAAAATGCCGTCTTTGGGAATAGACGCCGTAATGGTATTCATCTTGAAGAGCAATTATTATCAATCATGTGTGCTGTTTCCAAGATCCGGCATATGTATGACAAAGTCGATTTTGAAGTCTCCCTGCTCTGTAAACCACATGAACCGGCATTACCCAAAAGCATGGTTTGTAGACAACCCTGACATCCCCTGACTATGTCTTCCAATAACCACCCTATGGTGCTGGAACAGTTCTCTCTCAATTGTCAGGGTCAGTGCATGGTCTGCTTCATTGTGCCCAAGTCCTCCCAGAAGCATCTTCTATGAGCTATAAGTCCATCCACGCCCATTTGATACTAGCTCCACAAAGCACCTGCCTTCCAAAAGGGTTGCACCTGAGCTGAGAGAAGAACGCCCGTCTGCCACGGTGATCTCAACGGACGCACCGTCTGCCAATGGCCAAAATGTTTGGGCACCCCAACCATGTTCAACTGGCTACTCCCCCCCCAAAAAAAGAATTGAAGCATGAACAGGGGGGTAGCCAGTTGAACATGGTTAGTGTAGCCATTTTATATCTGAACCAAAATTGGAGATGAACGACGCAACGAACAGGACCAGCTCGAATCGGGACGCTGGTGATTCTCCCCAGCTGCGACGGGAGGTGATGGTTTTCACACCGCGGGTGGTGGCTGTTGACGGAGAAAACCGGCTCCAAGGGCTTCGTCCCGAGTGCCACCCGGGACCAGTACTGGGGGTGGGGGGTGTCGTCGGAACTGGTTGGCCGGTCTGACTGGTGTGCCGGTGCATGTTCGTTGGAACTCCCGTGCGACATATTGCGACGGAAACGGCGGATCGAAATCAAGAAGTATCAAGAATTATCTTGACAGTACTTTTGGAAAAGGCAGCTTTTCCCGTTGGAAGACACCAATTCTGGACGTGTTGTTTCCGCCCGGGAGTCCGCACCCCAAAGGCGACGAGTTGAAAGCCCGGGTTGAAGAGGACCTGGACCAGGGCCAGGTGCAGCGATGGGATGGGGTGGAGGCCATCCGTGAACATGAAGCATATTGCTCAAACATGGACACATAGGCAGCCACTGAGGAACTGGGAGATCTCTGGTGCGCATTGAAAAGCATGCAAATGATCAAATGTTGTGCTGGGCAAACCGGATGTGGACTTTATATTTCTCAAGTCTCATGTGTCTAGATGTCTTGCTCAATTGAAATGACTGGTTTCCTGGCATTGTTGCTTGTTTCAATGTGAGGATTACCTGTTTTCCTCCCAAATGTGCCTCTTTCATGTTGGCCCAGTCAACCGTGTCTGCACTACCAACACCATGCAATTGCTCCGTCCTTAACCCTCAGTTTCCACAAAGGTGTCCTAGCCCTGAGGGATCCACCCTGAAAACATACCACTACCCTCCTGTTGATGTATTTGTTACAAAAGCCGGCCACCTGTCAATGTCCGTGTCAACATGTCTCGAGCGCTTCGCTCTTGGAGGCTGTCCAGGCTATATATTCACATGCATGATTCATGATGAATGTTTCCAAGTGTCCACTGTCCAGTGGCAGCCGAGATTCATTCCACATTTCGGAGACATGACACGGTGTCCACGCATGTCCACGCATCACGCATCACCGGTTTTCCGAAAACCGTTTTCGCATCGGTTCTGGTTCAGGTGACCTGCACGACAGTCGCGCCTCGCAAAGGAAGCCGAGCACATGTGCCCAGCGCGAGACGTAGGGGCCGTTCATGGGCGGCTCCAACAAGGAGGCCACGGCCTGGCGGGGTGTGTTTACTGAAGCTGAAAAAAGAGGTCGGTGTGTTTACTATTGTTTACCCAATCCCTTGGGTGGACAAACCCCTCGGAGCATTGACAGACGCGCTTTTTAGGCGATGTCGGCAGAGTTCTTTTGGGCTATTCTCTACAGTGAACTCGAGCCCCTGCAGCAGATTTTTGTTCCTTATCCCAGACCGAGGGGGTAAGAAAGGAACAAAGGAGGTGCTCAAATCCATGACCAATGTCCATACTTGATCCTTTCTGAGAGGCTCAGTGTGGTAGATCTTGCAATGGTGACAATCTTCCAATTCCTTAAAACCTGGCACATGAAAAAGCAAGTATATAGACCTAATTAATCTATCCCAATCTGCTGGTATGGCTGTCCGTGGCTATCGGAGATTGGGAACGGGACCTCCAAACATGGACAGCTACCGATCACGGCATCCACGAGCAGCCACGAGCAGCCACCAGGCACGACCAGCCGCTCTCGAAGAATCCGTTCTTTTCTTGGTCGCAGTGACTGCAAAAGACCAACGAGGTCTTTGTTGCCTCATGCAACAATAAGCACATAATAAGCACCAGCACAAGGGAATACAAGGGAAGCAAATCCACAACAGTTACCTACAATAACAACCATCACACCAGACCCACATTCTATCCTATTTCCTCTCGATTCCTCCTCCGCTTCGCGATCGCAAAAAAAACGGATTGTTGGCCTCAAGCAGTGCACAGGCTACCTGGCCACGTGGAAGTAGCTGGAGGCTGGAAGTGGGGCAAGGGATTAGCTAATCACTTGAAATGCACTGCCACCCTCTGAGCAGGTGTTGTGGATACTTTAGGTGGCTTTGCAGGGTCCAACTGCCTTCTCAAAAGGTGGCGGCGTATACTTCGAGAATGTTAATTGACCAACTCTGCCACCAGCTTCCCTTGACTTGGTGTTCTCAAGTGGCGGAGTTTGCAATTGTTCTCAAGTAGGGACTACACTGATGACAATCCACCCCACGAGGGAGAAACCACAATTAAGGTTCACATGGCAAAAATGATTCCCCACAACCCAGGGTCGGCTGCATCAACACACTTTTATGTTAAGCAGCTTGATGAAACCAATGAAGCCGAACGAAAAAAGGAAAACTAAACAAAAACTCAAAGCACCACGACCACATCCGAAAAGAAGTACAAACAGGGATTCTAGAAGTCAGGAATTGAAATAGCTTGTTTGTTTTTGCAGCCGAAAAAGGCCCGTCATGCATGCTATATGCACACTACGTGAATACGTGGAGTGCTTGGGATGTGTTTTTGTGTTCTTTTTCGGAGAGGTGGCGTATGGGTCATGTGTCACCGCCCTCCTGGCCTGAATGAGTTCAAAAAGGGGTTCCAAGAACATGGAGACTGGCAGCCAGTACCAGCACCTCAAATGCACACAAGAGTGTCCAATGATCTGCATGGGGCCGGACCCGGCCCTTTTGGTCGGTTCATAACTCATGCGGAAATTCCATCGAAAACCTGTCCATCCACCGTTTAGGAATCGCTTGGATCACCCCAAAAAGGAACATCTTTTACAGCCCCGCAATGACTTGAACCGCTGAGATTCCCGGCTGCCACTGGTGGCAAGGATGCCATTGGGCGCTCGTATGCCGCCTCAAAACGCTTCGACATAGTCAAGCGACACGTCACACGGGTGGTCCAATGATGGAAGCACTGAAAAGGATGTGAGAGTGATGGTACCCTTTCCCAAACTCACTCCGAACATCTATCAATATCTACAACAATGTATAGCAGATTGTCAAAAAAATATACTGTAATACAGTATTTCTTTATCCACATAGGTTACTCTGACATCTTGACACGCACCCTGCTGCGGCAGAAACGCGCAAGAAGGAACATGCTTCATGTTCTGACATCTTGACACGCACCATGCTGCAGCCGAATTCCGGACCCAGCATCCTTGACTCTGAGACCTCGTGCCGGACCCAAGCCACTCCTGTCATGGTGCTCCAGTCGGGATCACGTCCTGGCACATCCAACGTTCGCACATCGTTTGGGAGGGAGCCATGGATCCTCCGGACCCTGCTCACATCTGCCCACGCTGGCTACAGCAGACCTGGCGACCTTTACCAGACCTCTTTGGAGGAGTTGTTCTTGGGGTCGTCGACCGGTGACGGACAGCGGAGCCTTCCGTCAAGTGCTGAAGATTTGGCGGAACTACGGACAGGAACTATGGAGTAGATGGCACCAATGTCTAAGTTTGGGTGATTTGTGATACTTCATGCACCCCCATCTGTCCAGGACATCTGGGGATCTGTGCCATCTCTGAAATGTACTGTATTTCTGAATGTGTATGCCCAAGCCTTCATTGCTTGCACATTGCTTGGTTCTGCCCTTGCAATTTCAAGGGTTGCTTGGTCCAGTTTGGTCGCTAAACCAAAAGGTCCAACCAAATGGAACGAGGGGGTTGTGGAGTTTTGGCCCGTTGGTGCGTCGTCAATATGGACATCATCCATCACAACATATCATCGTCCTCCACGTCGTCAATCCTGGGGGAAGTGCCACGCATGTTGGGGGAGGATCAGCACTCGCAAATTGACAAGTGTTCAGGCGGTGTGAATGAGCGGACAAGTTTGCGTTGGTGATGCTTTCTGCAGGGGGGAACTTGAGCCATGGTTTGTAGGGTAAGGTTTTGACCCACAGCCATGTGAAGTGCATCCCTACCGACCCATCCTTCTGAGTGAACCTCTGGCATCCCGAGTATAGGCGCCTGCACCCTCGCGCTCAGCACATTGCTGTGCTGCAGCTACGTTCGAGTCCGTGTTGGTGCCCTTTTGTAACCTTTTTTGTGGGTTTCCTGAGTCTCTGGCCAGGGTTAAACTATACTTCTCATGACTTCTCTCATGACTTCTCAACACCTCCAAGAGCATTGACTTGCACCACCTACCGGACATGTCAGCAGTGCTTTTGGAGTCAATCACACCAATCATCGAATCTATAGCGATGGCGCCAGGGCGAAAAGAACTACCTGCTGACGGGTCATGTGTCTTGTGCCAAACAATTCCAGGGTCATCAGATTCGACATACCCGATCTAAAGTCACTTGCCCCAAGTTGTCCTGGATCGTTGGGATAGATGTGATGCCACCTGAGACGAGCTCAGCTTGGCCAAAGAACTGGTTCTGAAGTAGGCGGGGCTTACGGAGCCCATCGAAACCTAGAGGGCTTCCAATGGCTTCCCACTTTGTCAAGTGTTCTCATTCGACTGGTGCCTGGGAAGACAGCTGTTCATTGTAAGAACCCCTATATAACTAAGCTGCTCTTCCCCCCAAAGCAATCCGGCCAAAACGGCGGCCAAAACGGTTTAGGCAAATTGGAGGTCAGAGGCCGGCGATTTACGATATATGTAAGTCCATGGTTCTGATGAATGTAGACGCCATTTGTTTGAAGGAGTTGACATGTTGGAGAGGAGTGTGGAATTTCCATCCGTGAGCAGGTGCCATATCGACATCCTGCACTCGCTGGATCAGCCACTTTGAAGAAGTCCATCTCACGTGGCCATTGTAGGACTCAAGTGTGAGGTGACATCACCCAGTGGGTCAACCCACCAGTTTCATCAGTTCTTTATATAGTAACACACCCATGTAACCGGTGCTTTAGCAAAACGGGGAGCTGGAAGCTTGAAAAGGCCGTGCAAAAAAACGCGTGAAAGGGGCGCTTTTTAGAAAGGCCGAGGCTGTGAAGAACCGGAACCAGTTGAACGCCGTCCTTTGGACTTGGACGGGTAAGTGCCTGACAGGATTCTAAAGGGAAAGGGTTTTCACTTTGGAACCTTCAAGAACAATAGACCTCTGTCCTAGTTGAACCGCGGTCCTGACAGGTCCAAGAATCCCTTCAAACAAACACATGCCACAAATTGCGAACGTGTAATGCATTTCTGGAGTGCAGCGGTAAATGATTGTTTTGCAAAAAGTATGTGTTCGGCTGAGGCAAATGATTCAAAGAATTCTGGATTCTCCCTCCCCCCATGTTCAAAAACTCAACCTTTCCGTGGGCGGCGCCCTCCTTTCAGCTCTTCATTTGAGGGTCCCAGCCAGTGTTTGCTCATTCCGTTGCCCTTGAGCTCGCGAGCGCCATAGTAGTACTCCATGGCCCGATGCGAAAGCAAGCTGTAGATCCAGAAGAGGCCTCCGACGTCCGCTGGCGCCACAGATCTCCCGGTCCGCGGGTCCAAATGTCTTCCCGGTCCACGAGTCCACGCTAGCTGGATGGACCCAGTGGAGCTTCCAAGCCAACCTTGAGGGCTTGGAAGTGGAACGACCTGCTGGACCCAACACATGCTGTCGATAAGAGGGCCGATCCAGTTCTTGGGCTTTATGGGTCAAACTGGTTCATGCCGCTGCGTTTCGATTACTTGCGAAGCTCAAGTTGCGGCTGTAGATTGACTCCATCTACGCCCCCTTCGTTCTCCAGTGGAAGCTAGTCCTACACGTACTGGGCATGTGTAGCTGGTTGGTTCCTATATGATCAAATGGGCTCGGAAGTTGTAACTGTATTTACTGGATAACTAGTATATCATATATAGTATTATCATGTATTATCCACCACGAGCAGCTGGTTCAAATCATCGATGCAGGCCACAGAAACGATAATCCATTTCGGAATCCGAACATTTATTAATTCACGGCCCACGCACACGCCAAATAAGCATCGAAATAATCTATTTCGGAATAAAACGACAATTCCCTTCGGAATAATAAAGGGTAACATTCATATAAAAATATCAATTCAAAAGGAAGGGAATCTATATTTAAAAGTAAATTCCTAAAAAGATGAAGATTAAAACACATAATCAATTACTAAATTTAGAGGAATCCATATTTGCTTTGCAAAATAAACTCAAAATAAAGGTGAGGGTCAGGGTCTCGCTGAGAACCTCGCCTTTCCACCATTAAGCTTATCATGGACTCAATCCAAGAATTTCACCGCTAAAAGGGCCCAAAGGTGAGGGTTTCAGTGAAACCCTCGCCTTTGTGAGTGAGTGAGTGAGTGAGTGTTGATACCTGGACTTCAAAACTAAATCGATTATCTAATTTGCACTTCCTGTACTGATGGGCATGAGGGGCGCCTACGGGTACGGCATTTTCTTGTTTGACTTTGTGTCAGACGTTGTGCTCATCCCCCAGTGCCTATGGCACGCAAGAAGAAACACATTCTCCACCACGCGAAGTACTCAGGCCTCTGTTAGTTGTTCTAAACCATAGCAGTAATAGCACCATCAAACATCTACCTAACCTCACTGGCGGTGGGTCTTTTCATGTCTTTTCACTAGTCCTCACTTGCGGGAAATTTCTGATCCTCTACAAAAAACACACAAACATACAAAAACAACACCTCTATTTGGGCATGACACCTTATCTACTGCATCTTCTATTGTCTACTTCGTGAGCAGTTGGTATTTGAGGCTAGCTGAGCTGTGAGTTCTATAAATTCTATAAGTTCACCTCCTAACTTCCAAATTTGACAAACACCAGGGCCCTGCTTATGGTACGAAAAAGTACTTAACGTATGAACTTCTAGTACTTATGTTGAGGCTACTTAACCCTACTTTCTAGACAAATTCAGAATATTGTTACGGTTTATTTCTAGTTATTTCTGGCTAATTTTTTCTATTTATGTCCAGCAAAAGTTTACCTGTGTTTTAATCAGTTGTTAACTAATTTATGGGCATGTGCTATTCAGTTTAGCTAGAACATCAACAATTTTCACCATATTTTCTATTTGTTTTCAACAAAATCCCAATTTTTTGTAGTTATTATACGTTCCATTTTGTTGACACCACCATTCGAAAATATGTTTGACGCGAAAATGTGTTTAATCTGTTTTTGTTAAACCGATTGTTTTCAGAAAAAATGATCATGGGCTTAATCAACAATCAATTTTCAGGGTGACTTTCCTCAGGCCCGGATCACCATGTATCTGATATATCTTGATATATCGGCCTCATTTCTACTACCCCCCCAGGAAGGCCTGATACATCCAGATTCATTTGGATACATCCTCCGGGGCCCTCTGGTCCATGTATCTGGATGTATCGTCCTCCTTTCCGCCACCCCCCCAGGAAGGCCCGATCTATCCAGATACATTTGGATACATCCGCGGGGCCCCTGGTCTCTGGTCACCGCTGGTCACCAATGAATCGGCCTCATTTCCTGCCACCCCCACCAAGGCCCAAATACATATTCATGCACTGAATTTGGAACAGCCAAATAATGACATATTTGAATAACTTCTATTTCCAGCAAGTACTGCTGCTTTGGTGGCTTTAATGATGGATGGACTCGGACATGTTTTCCTGTGTGTGCAAAAATATTGTTAGGACGATGTCTCAGCTTGGCTCGATTGTATCTTTTTCAGCGCATATTCCAAAAAACACGCTTGCTTCAATCTCTTTTTTCGGTTTTCAGAAAACATATGTTTCTTATAGCTGTTTCCTTTCAAATCGGTGATTCCCACTTACATACCTGTCAGGTGAGGGTTGTTGGGTTGTTAGGCTTTATGTCAGCTGGCGTCCTCCTCGTCCTCCGCGTTGTCCTCAACTGCGAGCCTCGGCCAATAGCGTTCCCCGCCGGACCTCAACTGCGAGGGTCGTGTGGCAGCCCCGCCGGACCGCAACCTGCGAGGGTCGCGTGGGTTCCCCGCCGGACCTCAACTGCAAGGGTCACGTGGCTGTCTTCCCCGCCGGACCTCAACCGCGAGGGCCGGGTGGCAGGGTTCCCCGCCGGACCTCAACGGCGAGCTTCGGCTGGTAGCGTTCCCCGCCGGACCTCAACCGCAACTCACGACCATGGCAACATGCTCCTCACTATGGCATGGAAACAAACCATCAAAATGTCATGGTGGGGATCACTTGAAGTAGATTATATAATTTCTACTTATTTCTAGCTATTTGTAGTCATTTTCGACTTATGTCTAGGATATTTTCTTATGATTTCTACTTATGTTAAAAGCTCCATAGGTTCCCTTGATGTACCTCAGCTAGTCACGTCTCAAGTACCAAGTCTACTTTCTTACCCCAAATCTTATTTCTTTGACAGTTTAAACATATCTTCTGCATCTTTGAAACTTCCTCGCCTGACCCGGGAGGTCGCTCGCTGCTAAGCCTCCCGCCTGCTTGGATGTCGTGGCGGGTGCGGAAGTCCCCGTGCATGACCGCATGGAGGCCAGCATCCAAGTGGCGCCACCAGAACCAGCCTCGATGCGTTCAGTTCGCGCAGCCAGAATTCATGCGATTTATTGAAACCAAATGTCAACGATTTGTGATATGTGCCAAATTATTACTGTATAGATCTCTTATATTAAATAAACTAAACGGGTAAACATATGTTGAACTTTGCAGCCATGGCTTTCCACGATGTAATGGGGTGCGCAAATAGAAACGCCGTCTATGGTGGCAAAGTCGTGGGTCCCCAAACAAGCCCAGACCTGACCCCGGTTGATGGTAAAGGACCATCTGTTGGTTGGCGGTTCCAAGCTAGAGGGTCAACTCGAACCATCAGGGTCGAGCGCTTCTTGGAGCCTGGAGTGTTTGGAGGCGACAGCCGACGCGTGTTTCACATGTCGAAACCCGAAGTGACGAGTCCGAAATCTGTCGAAACCCAATGACTTCATCACTCCAAGCTGACGCTTATTTTGGGGAAGTCTCCTGGTGAGGATCCCGAGATACCCTAAGTCTCATTCCAGGAAGCTCAAGGCGATGTTGAGACGCCAGCAGCCAAGCACATAGGAACAATAGCACCAGCTGAAGAAGAGGATCCTCAACTATGAAAGCAGGAAGCAAAAGCCAAAACTGTTGATCATACGATCATCCTGCAACTGCAAGCAGCCTAAATCAGTGTTCACCAGGGAGATTTCTGGAGTAAAAACACCATCATCAAGAAATAGATGCTGCAGGTGGTTGATTTGGGTGTCCCAGCTCATCACAAAAGTTTGCAAGCATCCACCTTGCCGACCAGAAAAAGAAGCCGCCAATGGGACCAAACACCGTTTTCTGGTGTATCTTTTGTGTTGTTGATGTCATGTATTATATTTTAATATTAAGTCAAAAGAATGTGGGGACGAGACCAAAATCGGTAATATAGGGCCTGTGTCTGCAACACAAAATCCATCTTTCAGCCTCTATGAAGCCTTTCAGAACCACCCATCCCCATGCAGCGGTTTCTCGGTGTTGAAGCCTCTACAAACATCAACCCGCGCACTGCGTGGCGCCGCGACCTTCACCTGCAGCCTTCTCCCCACCAAACCTCTTGATGCTGCAACAATGGTTGCAAAACATCCTAAGCATTATGACCATCATGTATGTTCGATACGGTTGCACTCTTCCAACAGGTGGTGTTTGGGTCCTCTGTCTATGCTGTTCTTTTGACCCCCAGGAACACGACCCGTCACCTGTCAGCTCCAGGCAAAACATCAACCAAAACCGGTCCGTGGTACCCGTGTCTCCAGCTGAAGACTCTTGGGGTCTACCGCTTCATTCTTCGAAAGAGATACTGCGTTTAAGCAAAAAGACAGTCGTCCCCGTGTAAAGACTATACTTGACTATATTATACTACATTTGTCACCGAGAGTGCAATGGATTTCTGTTAAATAATGATTTTGGGGCGCCTTTTCTCCACTATACAACCTATTTCAAATACTTTAGCAATGTGCAATACATTACAATACCCACCCAGGAAAAAGGTCTGCAAATGGACCGGGGAAGGTAAATTACATTTTTCAACCCTGCCCAAAAATGTAAATTACAAACACACTCAACCTCCAATAAGCAACATATTGTTCAAGATATTTCAAGACATGATGTGTTTGCATGCTTGCCCAGAACACTGTATGCAAATAAACTGCGGTCAATCAATAATACAATATTTTCAAGATCAGCCAACAAATCATTGCAGCACAGCGTCCCCATGAGCCGCCGTTTCATGGGTGTGCAAACTCTGCTGTACGCAGTTGCGTTTGTCGTTGTGATTGCTTCTGTTGCTGCTTCTGGATGATGTGGATCGAGCAATGCTTGCTTGTTTTTTGTGCAGTGTCAGTTTATTCATGGCTCTTGTGTTGTAAAAATGGTGCCCGTATATCACTCGTACTCTATATATAAGTGCATTTGCACACTACGTCTCCGATCGGGGTCTGGATTTAAATACCCACAATTTAATGTGTATATATATATATATTCAGATTTGTCATCACGTGTCGGGCCTGAAATCCTAAAGACCAATTGCCTGAGGAACCTAGTCAATCCCCCGGTCACGCCAAGTTGCAGCATGAGCACCGCCACCACTTCCGCCTTGAAGTTCTGCGAGAGCAAGGGGACCTGAGCATCCTCAGTCGGCGGAAGTTGCAAACGGCGGATGTCGGCAACTTGTTGTTTTAGACCGCGACGCGAAGCCGAGCCTTTTTTTCAGGCTCCTCAATATGGATGTGTTTTTGTCACATGGAATCTGGGACAAATGCGTGAACCATTGGATTAGCTTGCCGAGTCCGGCGTTTTGCCCCTCCCTTGCGGACTCTTTTGTGCATCCACAAAATGTCGGAAGCTCTTGACCAGTCTCCAGTGTGGTAACATGTGGACACTAGGGGTTCTTACGGTAAGGGTTAAGGGTCGCGCGGTCGGGCCCGGCTATTTCGTTGCTATATTACATTACTCTCGAAATCTTCGAAGTGAATTTCGATTGCGCAAGCTCGCGAAATCTGCATGGTGGGGCGCATTGGGCGCTTGTCGCGACAGCGCGCTCTCGCTGTAGTGCCGCATGCATTTTCGGACATGGTGGTCACTTTTCGTGGCAGGTGCAAGGGAATCCTTGTGTTTTGGTGGTCCAACTCGACTGTTCGCGACAGGTGCAAGGGCCCCGGATCGGAGTGAGTTAGAATTTAATTTGTGCAGGCGCAGCACTCTGGACATGGTGATCTTCGACGGTGCAGTGAATCGCGACTTTTCTACATGTGGCTCGTTTTCAGAAACCGCAGCAGGTGCGGTACTTTGTGGACCTTGAAGTGCACATTTCGTTGCAGGTGCAGTACTTTGTGGGCCTTGGTGTGCAGATGTGTCGTGGCAGGCGCAGTACTTTGTGATTGAGGCGCAAATTTCTTGGCAGGTGGAATATATAGTTTGTGGACCTTGAAATAGGGGTGTATTTTTTTACCGTAGTCGGGCCGGGAAGCTTGAATAGGTGGTATGATTCGAGGGTATGATTCGAGGGTATGATTCGGGGGTATGATTCGAGGGTATGATTCGCAGATGATTCGCAGCTTTGAAGTTATATTCTTGGATTAGCTGGACTTCCAGCAGTGGGCCCACTCTGCGCCGAGGCAGTAGGCAAGCAGCATCTGTTGGATGCTGGGCAGACTAGGCAAATGCACTCTTCCACCAAAGACTCCAGTGGCCCTCTGCAGGCCCCACCAAAACAACCAGGATGTGGGATGGGTGGGAGACTGTGTGGAGGTGCGTGATTCGGGTATGAATCGGGCATGAATCGGGTGTGATTCGCATGGCCATTAGATTCTGCAAAAGAAGGCGGTCCTTTGGCTCGTACCCCTGGGATGTGAGCCTTTGCTCTTCCCACAAGAAGACACAAACAATTTTGGCCAAATTGAGTGCCCATGGATCACACAATTGCAAGCGTCATGCACCATTGGCTCATGGACATCTACAAGGCACAAAGACCAACCAAAAACTTCACCTTAACACCTGGTTCTTACGTGTAACGTTTTGAGGGGTATGATTCGGGGGTATGATGAGGGGGTATGATTCGAGGTATGATTCGAGGGTATGAATCGCTCAAGTCGAACTTCCAACCACTACATCAGGAAGTACACGCCAAAAAAATACAAACCCATAGTGCAGATTTCGAGACCTGCATCACCTCAACCCCAATGGTCTCTAGACTTTCCTCTAGACCTCACACACACTGCTTTTGGCAGTATAATTTGAATTCAAATAAAAACAACAGACCAACAAACATGTGAAGAATCACAAAACCCGTGCTTTCCGTTTAAACCGCCTCTGATCCGATCAACCGATCGCGCCAAGGCGCCAACAAGTCGCGCCAAAAGACCCGCTGGAGCGGCCGACGGCTCCAAAGCTGGGCCAAGGGAACGAAGGGAAATGTCCAGATAAGGGTCTAAAGCACAACCAAGAGGTTGAAAAAGGTGCACCACCAAGAGGTTTAACCAATTGCACCTCTTAAGGTTCCCGACAGTATCTAAGAGAAACAGTGGGAGGTGCAACCTAGAGGAAAACCGCAATTTACCAATCATTTACGAGTGAAACCGAAACCTTTGTAAATTCGAGACTTTTCTCTTGCCTGACGCTGGCACAATTCCATCTATAAGGTTATGTGATCGGGCAAGCCGGGCAAGAGAGCCTGTGGCTGGAGCAAATCAAATGCTTCTAAGTTATATATGGAGCCTATGGGCCGACGCACTGCGATGGATGTTAAAAGCCCACCTTCAGATTCTGCGAAATTTGTCGCGCAATAATTTCCAGCGAACAAGAGCGGCCGTGCACCTCTTGCACGCTGGTCACCTGGTGCTTTGCCAAGGTGCCAATCTTAAAGCCTTCCTGGGCTGAAGAAGCAGCTTGGATGTTCTATCTTTACCCCTCTCAGGTCTTGTTTTGCCTCAAATCAAACGCGGGGTTTAGTGGAACGTAGGCGTTGAGCCAATAGGACTGTGTTGGGTAAACAATACATCATGTCGACAAAACTGCAACACGTAACATAACCATTTCAAAGGTCGGGGCTTGTCTTGTCTGGTACGTCTGGCGGGTCGCCAACCATAATCTTTTGGCTTGTTAGAGGCTGGAGGGTGTCCATTAATTGTCCCTTTCGCACGTGCTGGGCAAGTCGACCCACACATCATGCACATGACCTCACACTGGGCAAGTCGACAAATGATCTGCTAAGCCCTGGCAAGACCTGGTGAGAAAGGCTTGCTCAGCTGTCAGCACAGAGGTGTGGGATCAGGGGACTCGGAGCTTACGGTAAGAAAACACCGGTAGCCACCCACATGCCGCATGCCAATTGCACTTGGGGCGTCCCCTTCAGGAAGGCCCGCTGTCGAGTGCACTGCTTGGGCAAACGATAGTACATGTTTGAAGTTGGGGCTGGAACAGTGGCCAAGTTGTCGGGAGCTCGGACAGCAGCTACTCTAAAAAGAAAGTGTAGCTCCAAATAGAGAGTGGCGAATGACCATGATATGCGACACATCACACGACTTCTGCTGACTGCACATCACAAGGCTAATGCTACAAACAGCCGAGCCGTGTGGTCTGCAGCATTCTTTGGATATCGTGAGACAGCGTCATAGACTCATAGATCGACTGTATTTTGCGGCAACTTCCACGCCTTCGAAAGCGGATCATTCATTACTGGATTGTTTCCCATCATAGATTTTTGCAACCGTATGAACACCACCTCGTTACACAGCTCTGGAAGAAAACTTACCCCTAGACCAGACATAGTTGTGGGTCTCAGAGACCGTCCCGTGTTGCTTACATATGTGACGTTCCTGGTTGTCCACACCTTCAATGCGCAGCATTGGCAGCTCTAGCATCAACACGACCAACTGAGCAGAATGTAACAAACGATCGTGTAACGACAAGCTGAGAAGGCCTTCAAAGTACTGAAGACAAACAAAAACCAAACAAATTTGTCGTTGCTGAATTTGGCTAGTCCTTAGCTGAATTTGTTGTTGCCAATATTGTGAAGGTTGGCTAGTACTTGATCGCAAACTGAACGATATGAACGAAGACCAAACGACCCGTAGCATGATCATCGATGATTTAACAGAACCAAACTGAAACGCACAACGTGCTAAGCATGATGCAGAAGTCCTACTGTACTAGCGCTGGGGTTTAGTCACCCGGGTTTGCAGAAAGTCACCCGGCCGCATGGAAACGCAGCATTAGTCAAAAGTCACCCGGCTCGCGAAAAGTCACCCGTTTTATGTTAAAACACAATGTAAACGCTCTACGGAAGTATGTTTGTCAAAACTGCTATACATCAAGAATTCACTGCCCCTGTGCAGGAAAGAACTAGTTTTATGTCGAAGTTTGCAGCGTTTTGGTGACCGAACCCCAATCAGAACGCAAGGTTAGGACTATCGTGAAGATTACCCCCTAAACATAGATGCAGCATGCTGCCCTGCTTGCTGTGCTCTTCAAGAGCTGTGCCACGCGAGTCTTTTCGACCCTGTCGCGAGTGCCGCGCGAGTCCCATGCACCCATGTACCCCCGCCCCATGTACTCACGCCCCATGTACCCAATGGTGTTGAATGGTGTTGAACTGACGCTCCAAAGCTTATGCTCCAATGAGGGTGACATCTTGCATCTAACCCCATTGGAAACGCAGCATCCAAACAATGTTGTTGACCTAATGCTCTTCCAGTTATATTGCCATCTTGCATCTAACCCCAATGGAAACGCAACATCCAGACGACTTTCTACAAGACCAGACGACTTAACACAAGTGCTTGTATCAAACAATTCTCACACACTTGACCACGTGGTCACCCATGCCATCACATTGATATTCCCCACCCACCACAACTATTGGGGACAACAGCTCGCTGTGGCGGCCGAAAGCCTAAAACTTGTGCCACAGTGCCAACAGTTAATGCGGGCACACGACGGATTGTGGTAGTTTGGATTGAACTTGCTGTCGGCGATGGTGGTTCTGGCATCCCCTCTTCAACGGCGCATTGCACAAAAGAACCGGCCGGGTAATCGGATGTAAACTCACCAGAGATTGCCATTCTCCCTCCCGCGCTTTCCGACGTGCAAGCCAGCGGAGACAAACACACAAATAACTACGTTCAGTCCAGTCCGCAAACTCAGTCCAGAGTCCAGTCATATACCATTTGTTTCCCAAAGTGCATCAGTCTGTACCGACCGACGTACATTCGGTCGTCTCCAGGATCGTTGACGTCCATGATGACGATCCCGTCGATCCTCGTAACATGTCTTCTTTACCTCTGAGAGCTGAAAGCCTTAAGCCTTCAACATCCTTAAAGCAGTAGTCAAATGTAGTTATACCATGTTATACCCAACATGGAACCTCATGGCGACCAAGGTGATGGCATCGCTTCCGCAAATCAGCCAGCTGCATTAGTTTTCTTTGTTTCGAAGGTTTCATGTGGTGGCTCAATGCCCATCGGCACCAAGAAACCGTTGACCAGATCTGGTAACAAAGATCTGACTCCAACAATCTAGGCCCTAGTATTGCTTGACCTTGGTTGATGGACCGATCGACTTGGTTGAAACGTGCTATCTGTGATTATGTCCACCACTTGGAACTTCGAGCTTTCCAAAGGTGTTCCACAAGGGTGTGGGGTACGAAGAGGGTGAAGAGATGTGAAAGCCTTGAAATGCATAAAACAATCAGTATGATTCAATATGCATGAATATCATGTGTATATATCGTTCAACCTGGAGCCTTGGTTGGGAGTGTCCCTCTTTCAATCACCAATTTTGAGACTCGTCGCCAGACTCGACTCGAGGTCTGCCAGGCGTCCAAGGTCTGCCCCGCCACGCTGAAGGGCGAATGGTGGGAGAGAAAAAGCTCAGTGGCCTGGGAATTCAGCATGTGAAGACATGTGAAGATAAGTGACGTTGGGCCAATCCCACATACGCGGATTAAGGGAAAAGGAAACAACACACATGTGAAAACAAACTGCAGACTCTTACAAACGACATCTGAAGCTTGCAAGATGCTCCTTCACACGCAACGGCCAAACTGGACACAACGCTCCGCACCGACGCGAACCGAAGCGATGACACCCGGCCAGCTCGCTCCTCCTCGCCGATGGCCCGGCGAATGAGAAGACCACCCGGATGGGAGTGAAGAAAGGAGCCGATCGCATAGACCTTTCGCCCAGAAGCGACCGGTTCCGGTGGCTTTACACGGAACCTGCCGAAACGGGAGACGGGATCGGGTCAAAACCTGGACCCTGGTTTTTGCAGGTAGGTCAAGCAAGGCCTCCTGCTTTTGACCCACAGCCACATTGATACACTATCACTATACATGTACAATGCACTCCTCCACTTTTGGGGCCTTGAAACGATTTCACACGCATGATAAGCATCCAAGGGGTGTTCATCTAAGCATGCCACGCATCATCTAAGGATGCCCGCCTACATCGGGTCATGGGGTACATTGGTCCTTTGGTCCTAGGCACCGAGTCCGAACCCGATGCCAGTGTTCATAAGGCAAAGGCAAACCATGTCACACTCACACTATCCCTATATGGATCCACATACCTTCTCAGAAAGCAATTGGACCCTCAAAGCCTGCATAAATAGTCTCCAATTACCTTCTGAGAAGGTATGTGGATCCATAGGGTATATAAAGATCCGACTTGAGAATCTCAAATCGAACGGACCCTGTGCCCAAAATGACCCATACGTACGTTGCGACAAGAGCATTGACCTGCCTTGGAAGGCTCAGAGCCAAGTTTCAGACCCCTTTCATGACCCAAACGATTCATGTATGCCCTATTTACCTACCTGGTGGTTTCAGGGGTCAATGTAATTAGGCTTAGAACACAACTTTTAAACTGTTTGATGGTCAATGAGGGTGTCTAGGGCTTGTTCCTACCCTGCTTCTGGAAGGCTCGGCGTAGTGCGTCGCACGCGGAACAACGTGGAAGCTCCGCGACTGATATATTAAGCTCATGGCTGTCGCACCGACCAATTTACTAGTAGTGAGACATGTTGTTAACCTCACGTCTTGTGCAAACATCCGCCACATGGTGACCCTGGTACACTCCACACAATGGCTTGAGCACATGTCCATCCACGTTGAATTTCAACTTCCTAGGCTACTTAGGGTATCCAACTACATCCTCAAAATGTATGCAAACTCTCCGAACGCGACCCTCACCATGTACCTTCTCACTGTGCTACATGGAGCTACATGGAGCTCCCGTTCCGCTCGCTTGCTCGCTCCCACGGCGCTGAAACACCGGTGCCTGACCGCCGATGATCGTCCAGGGGAAGGGCTTTTCATAAAGCTCTGCTTTGGTGAACTCTGGCAGCGACGCCATGGAGCTGAGCGGACGTCATTGGAATGAGATGTGGCGAGCAAAGACTGAGTCAAAGAACATGTGCCAAAGACGACATGTCTTACTAAAAATGGAAAGCCAACCACCATGCAATTGGGGCTTTGGTCGCTTTCACGACATTTTGATGCCCCCTTCCGCTCAGCTGAAAGGTGACTGAGAGAGCCTCTTGTTTAAAGAAGGAACACGTCACTGTAGGAGAATAGTGGCTCTCATTCGGATGTGTTCATTCGGATGTTCCCATTCGGATGGTCCCTAAAGTGCTGAGTCAGCCTCTTTGAGGTCTCCCAAGTAATGCACCGAAAACACCTAGGTCTGGGCTCTCTGGTCATCAAACGGACCATTGACAGTGCTGTCACCCCAATAATAAGACGGTGTCAGATTATGTCAGATTTGCTGAAGCAACGTATGGAAGCGCTCGTGCTGTTGGTGCTGTTGAGCTCAATGGCATGTTCACTATCAGCTTGAAGGACAGCAGCTTTGCTTGTGAGGCGAATCCTTCACGACAGACCTCCAAGATCCTAAGATCCTCTCCAAAGCTTCCAAATTCAGGTGCTGCTCAAATGTCTGATCCTCAAATGATCTTCAATTCGAGACTCCAGAGTACTCATGCGTGTATTTGTTAAGTTATATGTCTTGCTGGGAAAGGTATTAAAGAATCCCCCTCTTCGATGTTCACTGATGGCCTCTGATGGCCTCAAATCATCTGCATGGTGAGACAGGTTTTTCCCCACCACCAGCGCCTTGTCCATTGAACGACCCATGTTTCTATGGTCAGAACAAGAAGACCCATGACATCCCACGACAAGAAGACCTATGACAGAATTAATAGAGCCTGTGATATCATGGGGCGGGTCTTGGAACTATTTGGCTAAATCTATGTTGTCCCGTGAAGCCGTGAATTGGACTCGGTTGGACTGTCACATCTGGTGATTTCTCCTCAAGAAATGTCTGTTGTTGGTAAGTAGTATTGCGTCCTGGACACCATCTCCAAGCAAATTGTAGTGCTGATGTGCTCCATTGGTTCTTTCAAGCCGCATTCATGCAATACGAATCAACACGAATGGCCAGGGCTGTGCATGGCTTGGTAACGGGTATGTGGGAATCGTCCGTTCTGAGGAGGGTATGCCGGGCCGGGAAAAAAAAAACATCCAAACTTCAACGAACACCAAAAGAATCAAGAGAACAAGAGAACAAAAACAACAACAACAACAACAACAACAACAACAACAACAACAGCAACAACAACAACAACAACAAAAGCAACAAGAACAAGAACAAGAACAACAACAAGAACAACAACAACAACAACAAGAACAAGAACAAGAACAGGATTCTGCACATGTTCTCCGTCACCCAACACTCCATACATGTTCTTTTCAGTGAAACCTCCACAAAGCATGCGGCTCCCGGGGGGGTCTTCGGCGTACCCTCTGTGAAGCCGGAGCACCTGAGCCGTTTCACGCCGTTTGTGGTTTCCACAGCACAGGGCACAGGGAGGTTGAGATACACCCCAACCTTAGTAGAACTCTAGCTTCCGTGGTAATTTGTTTGATGTTCTCCAGGGAAGGGATGCTTCAATGTTTTACTCAGATTTACTAAGTATATCTAATTATGGTATGCTTCGGAGGTATGCTGAAGGGGGTATACTTCAGGGTATGCTTCGCGGTGTGTGAAGACTATAAATTTTAAAGTAGTAGCATGTTCCAAGGGTAGGCTTCGGGATATGCTTCGCCTAAATCGAGCATCCCAGCCCTACATAAACTGGACACGTATAGTCTACGTAGTAATTAGAACACTTACTAAAAAAGAAGGAACACTTTTTGGTAGGTTGAGTTGATCCATGTTGATCCCGTTCATGAGGAATGTATTCGATCGGTTTCCTCTGCCTTCACCAGATTTACGACCATAAATCCAACCCTCCGCTTTTGGAGAACCCTTCTTTTCAGATCCCTTGACCCCTTGATGAAAAAACCACCCCTTGAAAGCAACTCATGAACCAACCTTTTGCAGCTCATGGACCATCCTGGGCATCCCCTTGTTCATCTCTTTTCTGTCTATACTTTTGTATAGTCACGATCTTCCCAGAACATGTGACGTTACAACAAACGTGCGCAAAATAAACTTCATCATCCTCCATATAGTCTCAGTTCATCGTTTGAGACTGTTCCTTTCGCTTCACTGTCGTTGGGCGCCCCCACATGGCACGGATGGCGCGCTGCGCCCAGGGGTTCTGAGGCCTCGCAGGGGTTCACGCGCGATCCCAAAGACTCCTTCAAAGAGCCGAAAGGCACATGGTGGTCATGGCACCCGGGGACCCTGGTTATCACATTGGTTGAATGAACAGAAGAGACGACCTAGCAGGGTGGCCTGGTCAACCTCCAGGTTTTGACCCACAAGCAATGATCATCCCATGGTTTGAGTGTCAAGGGAATGGGTTGATCATGGTCCCATGGTTTGAGCCCAATATGTAGACTCATCATTCATAACCCGCCATTTTGAATGGTAAACCCATGTAAACATATGTAAAACCTCTTCATAGGGTTTTTTACTAGTCAACTGTCTACATAAATATGGAATTATCATGAACTATCATCCAATTACGGTAGACAGTAGAACAATATCCACAAAACAAATTGCGCAATTCTCACCCCGAATTGTCCAGACCAGCACAAATGACCCTCGCATCGACCCCCCAAGAAAAACAAAAAAGGCTTCTTGGAGACTACGAGGATGTCCTCCCGCGGTGTGTCACGTTTTTGGCGCAGCCAAGGTGCTGAAAGCTGGGATCGTAGCTCCAAAACTCAGAGGGTGGTCCCACCAACTGGCGGCGCAACGGGTCTGAAGGGATGGTGTGACTGTGTGACAGATGGAGCGGACAGAGGTTTTGGTTTGGGGCTCGGTTTGCGTGGAAGTACCAGGGAGGCAGTACAATGATGAGGATGAGGAGGTGACTGGGACTCTCTGGTGATCTGGGCAGCAAACATTGCGTTTTAATCAGAAGCCTCATCTGGCCGTGCAAAGGTTTGGTGTCACTTGGCTCGAGAACTGAGGAAGGTCTGTGAATGTGTAATTCTTTGAGCGGTGAGACCCCGCAAGACGCCCTTGGGAGCTCTGGCCTAATACACCTTTTTGGCAGGATTGAGGAATTGCTGGGCCCCCCTTCCTGAATGTCCCTTCTCTCCTGATTCCAAAAAGACATGCCCAACATATACCCGGGATGCTCACCCGGCAGCGGGTCAAGGTCCACAGCCTGGAAGGAAAGACCAACCCGGCAGTAATTATCAATATTATGGCGCCGGCACGTACCCACAAGTGAGTTTTCTTCAGTGAAGAATAGAGAGACCTCCCAGGCAACGACCCCCCTGGAAGAAGGGACATTGACACAAACTCAATTGGTTTGGGGCTTCCTCCTTTTGACATACGCACCCGACGCACCAAAGGGCGCCAACCCACCAGCTCAGGTGCGCAAGGGGTGATCAGTCCCAGCTTCGGTGCCCTTCGACCTGACCTCCTGGTCTTCCAAGTGACCCTTTGAGATCCCGGGGTCACGGAAAAGCCTCTGAAGGGTCAAAGGGCTAGCCTCCAAAAGCCAACTTTGAAAAAGCTTTAGCTGTTTGTTTTGACAGCTGCTTGTTAACCAATCCCGAGCCATCTCAGTTTGTTTTGAGTAGCCAATCCCCGCAGCCAAGATTCAGCAGGTTCTTCTCACTTCTGGGAGAGCCAACCAAAACGGTCGCTCGAACGCTCGCCGGGTCCACAGGAGTATATCGCGCACTGCGGATGCCCCAAAGCACCTGAGACGAGCGTCTCGCTGGAACCAAGAAATTGATGACCGAGTCATACGCATCTCCATGCATGGGATATGATGGGATCGATATGTACATTCCTTTTCCAGTTCCAAGACCTAAAATATTGGGAATATATTGGGATATCTGGGAGTCGTTCATCCTGGAAAAGGGCACAAGGTGATGTTTAAGTGTATATTATGTTTATGTTTAAATATGGACTCTCTGAAATCGACCCTGAAACCCAGGACCGAGGTCTGATATCAGGGCTGTATGGATCGAAGGTGGCACAGGGATCGAAGGTGGCACAGCGCCGGTGTCTTTTCATTCCGTCGCGTCATAGGCAGCCCCTCACGGATGTGGAGCCTGCCAAAGGGTGGCCAGGATAGTCAGCTTCGAAAATTTGTTTGTGTTGTGTGCTGGGGCAGTGGGGACCAAGGTGCCAAGGGGCACGGGAAGTATCAGAATTTATCCTGACTGGCTGCCATCGAAAAGCACTTTTGACTGGAAAACAGGTCTCCACTGCCCCACGACATCCACATCATCCACATGTTCCACCTGGTCCTCGTGGACTCCAGCTTCCCATGTGTGTCAATAGGTGTTAGGGTTTACCAAGGTTTACCCTTAGTGGAATGCCTCCACCGTCCGTTTTGCTGTGGAATTGACCCCATCCGGCCGAGACCATCCGGCCGAACGCTCGCCCCTTTGCGAAGCGCACGGACACGTCCACGGGATTGGGCACGGTCTGCCGGACCAAGACTCCTCACACCGTGCCCACGGTGCCAATGGTAGATGTCCAACCAAAAGAGGAGAACAAACTGGCTGGTATATGGGTCTGGTAGTATGTATCATAATGTTTACAGTTTTTTTGAGAGATGGGTAATATCATATTGTATCTTCCAATGGGAAAGTAAGAAGAGGGTCCAAGCATCACTATAGATACTATAGCTACTGCAGATGAAACGCTATCACTAGCTCAATATAGTATCACTAGCTCAATTATTATCTAGCACCCCCACTTCTTAAATGCAAAAACGTGTACTCCCTCTGTATATCATCAGACTAGCTGCTAGCTGTTCCTCAAACGACCCCAACGACTTCTGCGATGGGCGACCTCGATGACTCCGAACGAGGCAAATTAAGTTGTGTCCCGCAAGATGGGGATGAACATGTGCAGAACTTGTGCAAAATGAGAAG